AATAATAATAATAATAATCACTTAGAGGAGCAAATTTATTACTGTATTTATTATATTATAGCTTTTTGTGTTAGAAATTGGGTAACTTTTATTGCTTAAAAAAAATAAAATTTCTAAAATTCGATCAAAGTTTCTTCTTTAACATTTCGATTTTTTCATGTTTAGTGTACATGCCCGTCTCTATCTACTTTACAGCCAGTGAAGAAGGTTTTTTTTACCTGTTTAGACCAGACAAATCCCAGCAGAGACAATGAAAACAGCCCCAGGACAAGGTACTTCATGTACTTCATGTTGAGAGGCGATTTTCCTCTTGAAGACAAACAGACACCTGAAGATATCTTCTTAAAACCTCTGTTTTATCAGCTATTCAGTTGTTGTTGTTTTTTTGTTTTGTTGTTTTATTCAGTCAAACACTGGCCTTTTATAAGGCATTCCGATTTTTCACCTGATACTTATTTCCATTCAGGAAGCCTTCCTCAGTCTCCACCCCAGCTATGGATCACAAATGCAAAACCTCACCCTGAACCAATTGAAATCAATCTAGATATGGATGTAAGAGATACCTTGTCTCTGCTGTCTTTGTTCAGCAAAGTGCCTCCAGTCACTTAGCTAAAGTTATTTTTATCCTTTTATGGCTGTGATTGTCTGTAGAATTCAATAAGAAACTCACTGATTAATACTTAGATATGTAGTATCTTAAACAACTTTATCTTGTTAAATTAAGTGTTTTATAAAGCAGAATTCCTTAAATTGTAGTGAGACGGCCCTCTTTGAAGCAGCCTTGGGGATCACTACCCCAGTGAAAATGTTTGTTACTTTGAGGATGAAAAAACATACAGCTGATTTTATAGCTCAATAACTATCCATTGGAATACATCTGTGACTGCATTTAAACCACAAAGTGGGTGCTCAAACAGCACACTTATCAAACTTAAAATGTTCAAATTCATCACTACCTTAAATTGAAACAGACTTCTTTTGTTGTTTTAATTTTGTTAGAACTGGTCTTAGTCTCCCAAGAATATACAATGATTTTTTCCCCCAAAAGACCTGCCCTTCTTGGAACATCATACACTACTCAGCCCAAGGTGTAAGACACAAAAAGTAAAAGCCATCAGTTTGCAATCATTATACAGATAAAATGAAATACATTGCCATCATGAGAGAAAAACAAAACTTTAAAGGTGGTTTTAGACAAACAGCCTGAATTTGAATGTGATGTTGTTTGAATAAAAGTAAGACTCTCTTAAGCATCAAAATGCAAATGGTGTTGCGTCTGCGAGTCTACCATTTCCATCAGTTTTAGTCAAATTGAGGTTCTTGCAGGACTAATTCAGTTTTATACACAAAGAGTTTCCCACCATTCCCCTCCCAACTGCTATGTTTTATTAGAAAATACATCCAGTTACCATTTTATTTGCCAAAACATCCAGAGAAATTTCCATATCCTGTGTTATTATATTAGAATTATACGTTTATTAAGAGTGTGTGGTTCAATCTTGGTTAAAAGTGGAAAAGGGCTCAGAGCAAACAAAGCACTTCATAGCATTGATATGATAAATGCAAGACAGTCACAGTAAATATTTCTATTGAGGAAAGGTGAATCTGTGGGGGTTTACACTTTGTGCCCTATGCAGTGTAGATCAGAACAGAGATCACAGGCACCAGTAGTTGACTGCAGGAGCCGAACAAAGAGGCAGACCCTGCTTTTGCCGTCGTAGTGGAAGCTGTGGGAGTGTTAGTCCCACTGCCAGTTGTAGAATCGCGAGTGGTGGATTTCGTGGTTCCAACGCTTTGAGTTGTTTCAAGGGAAGTTGTGTGCTGGTCTGATGAAGTGATGGTAGCTGAGTGAGCTGAGGTGGAGGAGGTGGGAGGTGCTGTTGTAGTTCCAGTAGTCTGGTTGTCAGAGGTTACGTGAGTCGAGGTGTAGCTGGGTGTGGTTGTTGCTGTATATTGAGTGCTACTAGCTGATTCTGTGTTGTTGGTGGTCGCTGTTGAAGGTTGCGCCTGTAAAACACAGTTCATATTGTCCAGAGTCACTTTTAGAATAAGAATCAGTGGCCAATGCAGTATGTGTAAAGTATAGTATCTATATATTAAAGCTCACTATAATAAAACAATATAGAAACCTATTTTTCTCACTTTCTACTAGTGCTATCTGGTTTTATTTGCTCAGGTTTTGAGATATGCATGTTCATTATTTCCACCTCCATCCCAGTACAATAGAGAAGAATGACCCAAAATGTGTGATTCAAAGTTGTTGGTTGGTTTTTACTTAGGACAGAGACAAGCTTTCTGACCTAGTTTTTTTTTTTTTTTTTCGCTAGTATGACCTGACTCTAAATGTGTATGTAGACACACATATTGATTTCACATTTCACTTTTGGAGAGAAAGAAAATATATTTCCCAAAATATTAAACAGCTTTTTCTTTTTTTTCTCTTATCTTTAATATGAGTCCACAAATGAATTTCCTCTACTGTACTGGGGTAGCGGCATACAAAGGCCCGTTTAAACCTTGGCAAACAAAACCAGAATGACAGTATATGCATGGAAAACATGTAACTTGGGTAAATTGACCCTTTAAAAAACTTAAATGTTACAATATAAAATATATTTGAAAACTTTACAAAGGAATTCAATAAAGTGTAGCACTTATAACTGGGCTAAATTCTCTTCCCACCCTGCCCTCTCTTTCACTCAATACCAATTTATGCTGTTACTTTTTCCTGTCTGTATTATACTATCAGTTGATGCCACAGATAAAGCTGCAGTACAGTGTGTCTCAATCATAGCCACAGCATGCAAAAGGTCAAGCACCTGCTGCTCCATCTGAGTACATGAGGCATGAAGATATTAATCGCACTTTGCATATTGCTGTGGCTGGTAGAGGCCTGCAGTACATGTCTGCCATCCACTAAAAGCCCCCTTACGGAACCCAGTGTATCTAAATCTGTATCTTCCCTCTAGTTCAAACCTACACTTACTGTAGCTACTGTTAATTTACTGTAGCTATTTCAATTTACTGTAGTATGTTATTAATGTACTACTGTTATTTTATACTGTATTTTATTTACTATCACTATACATACATAATACTTTATATCTTATCTTTATTAGTATTATTTTTAATTCTGTTCTTAAGGTCAGGTTTTTTTTCATGGCGGCCAGGGTTCTCGAATCAACTGGCGTCCCTTGTGTTGCGTTAATCCTCTTCTCTTGCCCCTGTCCTGTTATCTTGGCGTCACTATCAATAAAAGGCCAAAAAAAATCTTTAACAAAAAACCTACGCCTTATATTTCCTGGTAGATCGTATCTAGTATATCTGGAAATAGGAGCACTCCTGTGGCTCCCTCAAGCAAAAGAAAGGATTAGTTAGGGCTGACAATGTAAAGTAGGTCTAATATATTCAGTTTCACTGAATTATTATAGCAGTAGAGGAGCTATAAATAAATTTCCTGGTCAAGAGCGCACAGATGTGGAACAAAATGTATCATTATAAGTTTGGTGACACTCATTCAGAGGTAATTGTACAAAAGGTTAATTCAATCCAACCCTCATAACTACTACAATTTGATAAGCTATTTAAAAATAAAGTTAAGTAGTTACGTGTAATGAGCCAGTTTGTAAAGTAACCATTTTTTTCATGATTTTCATGGTTTTATTAAACACAATATGATCAAAAAAGCTGAATAAATATACAAAAAGAACTCCAAATAAAAAATTAACTACTCTTTCCAAGGTCAAGAATTAAATTTAAATTTACCCTTTTTAGCCAACAGTGGTAGGAAGTCAATACAATGCTCAGAAAAAAAGCTCCAGAACAGCTACAAAATAATGGGCCTATGTTTATAAGGTCAAGAATAAAACAATATTTTCATTCTCATTATTTAATTTATTTACGGTATTTCACTCTTGATTAAGTGTTAACGTTTTGCAAGAGAGGTCTTTTGCTCTTTGTAAAACTCAAAATCCAAACAGAAACGTCTCCTTGTACCAACCAAAAAACAGTCTAAATGTTTCTATTTACCTCCATTTGCCTATTTTGAGATGCATTTAAATGTTTCATTTCCCTTGCAAAGATTTGCCTGCAACCATACTTAAGGCAGATAAACAAAGGCAGTTATGCTTTTTGTTCAAGTTCAAGCTGTCCAACCAGTGTCCACTCATCAGAGAATGTGAACTGTTTGGCCATTACTGGTCCATCACAACTCTCTGAATGTGGACACAAACCTAGGTCACTTGTCCAACAACATATTTTGCATCATGAATTCAAAGTGTCCCTTACCTCGGTGCAGCCCAGTGACATGAAGGTCAAACAGACATAAAGGACAAGCATCCCTATCTTCTCCATTTTGGTCTTCAGCTGTTTCCTTCGTACTTTATGGCTGTCCCCACCCTTCTGTCTGTCCTTTTATACCTGCCAGGTCTCCATTACACTGATGCTGATAACTGTCATCAAAGAGAGCTGAGCAGAAAAAAACCTTGGAGCATTTCCAACTTGATATGAAGTTGCTAAGATGGAGCGGACAAGTGAAATTTGTCTGATATGTAAATATATATATGTAAATTAGAATTACACGAATCAGGTTCAGGCTTACACTGTATTTCGTCAAAAGTAGATCATAATGAATATCTGTTTTAAAGCTAAACATCTTTGTTTTTACCTAACTCGCCAACGACTTCCCAGTTCAACCCTGATGAAATAATACTAAGGGAACTGTCCCACATCATACAGTAGTGCCATATTACAGGATATATTATATTACCACATTTTATCCCAGTTTAATAGATTGTTCATGTTCATGTCTGTGCCGCATGGTAAAAATAAAAAAGTTAAGAAAACTAAATTGAAGCTGACCTGAAAACAAAAGTTCATGATAAAAGAATATTAAATATAATATTATTGATTGTGAGATTTTACAGTGTAATCTGTTGAGTCTGTTAGGAAGTAAACATTAGGTAAATCTTGAAAGGCACAAACCTTTGTAACTTTGTAATGAATCGTATTTTAAAGATTATAACTTATCAGAAATTTGGTTTGTTGTTGTAGTGTTTCTTTAATACAGATACTTTATATTTCTATGTTCTAACCACTTGCAATCCTTAGTTTTGCCCAGATTATAGGAAGATTATAGTTTGAGATTTGTACAATGCATTTTGATGAAAACAGAAACTAATTGTTTCCTCTTCATATTTAACTTTTCACTTTCGACCAAGCTCAGATAAAGTCAACTAAGGAAAATTGGTGTTATATGATAAGGCAACTCACCTAAATTCTGTGTGACCACAAAAATCCATCACCGACTTCCAGGGTTACCCTGATAACACAAAAATGTTGTTTATTTTACCACCCCAGTGAAGATTATTTGGATGAAAATGTGGGGAATAAGGCACGTTTGATTTCACCTTTCTTGTTGACTGTTACCTGAAGGATCTGTTGGAATAACTGAAGCAATCAGAAAGGAATGTGCCCCTGTGATGTTTGGTTTTTGATATCGAGTTTGTATACATACTTTAAGTAGCTGGCTTATCATCACTTTCTAAGAAAAAAAGTAATGATGTGACAGCCTCATTGCACTTGAAATTTCAAATAAATTTGGTATGGGACTTTGCTTTAACTGCCACTTAATATTAGCATTACAAAAACTGTATCAATTTTGGAATAACACTGGATGTGGGTGTGTCCACTTTGAAACCTAGCAGTGCTTCACTTTTGCAGGACATATATGTGAGCTTGTAACTTTGTTAAGTCCAATTTATCCTCTCATAAAACTTCCACTTGTCTATTTTTAAGGGGGCACAAACAGACCATCCCTCTCATTTTGATTTTATTAGGTTAAAGATGTCAGAGAAAAAGGGTGTGACAGAAAGGCTTTAAGTGATAAGTTACATATTTCTCAATAGAAGACTGTTAAATTATTTCAAGATTAAGACAGATAGTGTCGTCCACAAATCAGACCACAAATGAATTACTTAACGTGTATATGCAGGCAATTAAAGGAGAAGTGTATGGACTCAATTCCAATCTAAAACTAAAAACATTAAACCATAACACACTTTTCTCTGATCATCACCACACAACCTCAAGGACAGAGAGGGAAACAAACATGTTCCTGTAACAGGCTGTTCTGGTAGCTGTGAGAGCACAGCCAAGCCTTTGTGGTGCTTTATCAGCTGTGTTATCGCTGGGCTGCACATTTCCTGGTATCTGGCATTTTAATGTCTCTTTCCCCTGATAACAAAGTGCCCTGTGTCATTAGTGCTACTGGACACTACTACAGGGAGCTACTGCATATTTAGTTTGTGACACTTTGTGACACACATTTCTGCTTGTAGGATAAGCTCAGAATCAATGCTTTAAGGTCAATGATTAAACATTACATTGCAGTTTTCCTTGTCTTGCTCTGATATCTAATATGTTATTGACTGCTTTTGTGAGACATGGTTTATCCGATGAGTTACTGATTGTGTCAAGTAGTGTTTTATTACCTTGCAGGTTCATGAAAATCCGCCATAAAAGATGAGAGAATGCATTTAGAAGGAGGAGGAGTCTTGTAAACATTTAATTTGATGCTCAGAAAGACAATCACGTTCCTATAAACTCTAAATTGCCAAACTCTGAAGTACATTGTGCGAACAGTTAACAGTGGATGATGTTTTAAAGATACAAGCGAATGCATGAAAAGTTTAAAAAACCATCAACTGAAGAAGGATCCCATAAACCAGGCTGGATTTCTCAGAGAGTTGCTGCTTCTGAAGGCAAAAGGAGAAATCCTTAAACACAGATTATGTTACAGATTTTCATTCTCAACCAAACAAGACTAAACAAGCTGTGAGACTCTAGCACAGTGGTAAATTCGGCTAAATGCTAACATCAGCAGGCTAACACGCTCACAGTCAGGACCAAAGGGGTGGAGCAATAAATTGACATTGCCAAGCAACTGTACGCCATTAGCTTGGCTCAAAAGACCTAAACGTTTTGTAAAGTGATATTAATTAATGGGAAAAGTCAACGTGACACGTGATGTTGATGATGAGTGTGATCTGGCCATACACTGTACGTGTTGCAAATAATAAATATACGGTTATCTTTCAGCCCTACATTCTTTGCAGAGTTCTTCTAAAACAGCAATTGTGTAGTGTTGTTACCTTGTAAAATATCAGCAGAATCTTATTTGCCTGTATCTGTCAAAGATCCATGCTATAAAAGTGTATGTTTTGGAGGATGGGGATACAGAGGCTTTGCTGGGAACATTACCATCAAATAAAATAAATCTGTCAGGTCGAAATATGTTCACATGTGTCTAACACGCTTTACTCTTTGAGTATGCGGCGCATTGTCATCAGTATGGTTCCTGTGACCTATGGCTTTAATGCTTGGCTGCAAACCAAATCTCCTTCAGGATACAAATACAAACAAATTCCCAACAAAAACACTTATGAAAACGTACACAAACAAAGCAAGGGAGCAGAATACAATGATCCCTAGAGTTTAGAGTAAAAACAGAGGATGATTCATTGCAGTGACACAGAGCAAGGAAAAGTGAGATAGCTCTCATAGCTTTCAGAGTTACAATTAGTTTAGCAGTTTTCCCTCTTGTTTTTCTGTTCTTCTCTTCTTCTGTTTCTTTGCAGGATGCTTAATTTGATCCATTTCAGCCTTGAAGGAGATTTAAACTAGATGCAAATAAAGAGTCTTTCTTGGACAAACTGTATCGTCTTTCAAGTTTACCACATATTAATACCTACATGGTTATTTTTTTACTAACAATGGTTAAGGTCAACAAAGGACCTTTAGAGCTATAAACCTCACTGCATGAAAAACCAAATGTACTTCCTTAAAACTTTGTGCATGTCACAGCCAGTGCACCCTTTGATTATGTAAACATGGACTAAGTCAGCCACGCTGATTTAGCTTTAAGGAAAGCAGGTCAACGCATGAGTGATTGGGCATTGCTGAATGTCATTGGGTTTGCCAGGCTACAAGGGAAACAAGTCTCACTCTTATGACCTTCATTTATTATCACTGATGTAATAACGTGTAAGCAGCATTATAATGTTGTAGCTAGTTAAAGTGAAGCTATTTTTAAAACATACAGTAATGATGGGCAATTTATCTTAACAGTTTCATAAACCTGTCTATGTAAAATCTTAATCTGCAAAGCTGCTGCAGTTTAAAGCTCAGATACATGTAGTGGAGTAACAGAAAGTAGCAGAAAATGGAAGTAGCTACAACTACCTCGAGTAAGATAGTAGAAGTAGAGTGATTGAGGAAATGTTCTTAGTTGACCTTAAGAACAGAATCAAAAAAAATAAGATAAAAGATAAGATACAAAGTATTATGTATGTATATAATATATAAAATTAACAGTAGCTACATTGCTGCTTATAACTAATAATTCATATTTAAAGATATCATAGCATATAGACCTGCAATCGACAGCATTAAAGATATGACATATTTAGAATGCTAGCCTATATTATAGATGACTAACAGTTGATAATAATATACTTTTGGAGGTTAATCCAATAGTAAAATATAGAATAATAAAACATTAGCTGGGGGTTATTACTCTAAGCACTTTTGAGTACATGTGCTGGTAATTCTTCTGCACTTGTTTGCATTGTGTTTGTGCAACGTTTGCTTTATGTAAAGTATCTGAATGCTTATGAATCCTTTGAGGATTGCTGCGTTGTATTAAATTAAATTATTGAATGTGGGCTTTGCAGCAGTGCTCAGTTTACTCAACACCTTCTGCTGTCTCCATCTAGCGGTGGGATTGTGGGAAACGTGTGCTTCCCCGGCCAGGAAGTGACGCAATGAAAACAATAACGCGCAGAGCTTTCTGAAAAGAAATCAGCGGAACGGTCTCATTATGACTTATTTCAAAGAATAAACCAAACACCACGTTGTCGCCAGTGCTAGAGCAAGCCGGAGACATTTGGAAGGCGTCTGTCCAAAGGAAATTAATTTAGGTGAGCGGTTTTGGTGAACTCGCCGCCAGACAGCTAGCAGGCTGGTGGCTAACCAACTAGCTTGCCTCAGTATGAATCTTCACGTTAGATTGTTTTTTAAAATGATGTTTAGTTTAGTACGTGCAATAAACAGACGGTTTGACCAGCAGTTTATGTTGAAGCGATAGAGAAACGTTGCATCGCCAGTAAATGTTGGACTTAATGTAACTACTGTCATTTAGAAACTCTTTGTTTTTCCGGTGAACTAGCGTTTGCGAGCAGCCGCGTCTGTAACAACGTCCAGGCGCTTTATCAAGAGATCCCCTCCCCGCACTCAGTCTCATCTCTTCTCCATAGATTCGTGTGGTGATGGCAGCCTCGTTGCCCCAGAAGCCAGGGATGGCAGGGATGCCCTCTCAGCAGCAACCCCACCTGCCCCCCAGTGCTGCCTCAGCCCCAGGCCAGCAGCCCATCCCTCCCCAGGGAGCCCTGAGGGAGATCTCCCCAGTCTTCCTCTGTCGGATCGGACAGGAGACCGTGCAGGACATTGTCACTCGCACCATGGAGATCTTCCAGATCACACGAGCTGCACAGGTACTGGACATTATTATACGAGCTACATAAATATAATGTTTTGAATAAACAAGGATGACCTCTCCCCCCCCAACTCAGCTATAATATGTTGTTATGGTATGTTGTAATATTTGTTTATTTCGAACATGTGCGAGTAACACAACAAAGTAAACTGACAAACAAACAAATCCAATGAAAATAGTCAAAACAACAATGACAATAGTCAAAACAAAAGTAATAATGTGAACCCACATTTTATTTTTTATTTTATTTATTGGTTTATTTTAACAGGGACAGTGTACATTAATTAAACATTCCTGTAAATGCACCAGAAGGCTATTTTCCATCTGTT